ACACACACACACACACACACACACACACACACACACACACACACACATATATATATATATATATATATGTATATATAAAATATCCCCCTTTGCAATTCAATAAATGCAAAACGTTGACGTTGTTTTGAATATTGGATTACATAAAACATTACCAAGTATAACATAAAAATAACATCGTATACATAATAATCTTTCTATAAGAACAATATCAAATATATATTAAAAAGTAATATAATTAAAATGTATACATTTTACGTATACATTATATGCAATGTAACAAACATACAAATAATAATGCGCGATCATTATTTTTATTCGTCGCTAATAATAATAGTGCAGAAATAATATTTACTGACCACCGAAAATGCTAGTAAAAATGTTTGATGGTATTATGATGAATTGGAAAAATACATTTATGTGTAATGTTGTAAAATATTTGGTGTGGATATAATCTCTCAAGATAGGAAATAAATTATCTATTATAATATGCATATATATATATATAATATTATATTGAGAGGACATGTACGTTATGCAAAATGCAACATATATTGTGCGCAAGTTTCTTTTTGAGATTTGTTTAAAAAGAGCGAAGGTACTTACTATCGAAAAAAACCAAATAGTCTTTCACGGATACGGTATCATTGTAAAACGATATTTTACACCCACCCGCGAATCGAAACGAAAAACGTAAAGGGGCCTATTTCCTTGTTGCCCCAGGACTACTCCCGAAGTTATAACTTAACACGGCGCCGCGCGTGTATAATATCACATACGCGGTTCGTGCAATTATTTGGTGTTATGATCACTCGCATAGCCTCGTAGTAATAATGTACGTATGTACCGATCCAAGTTGTTACGAGACCGCCGAAGCGGAATTTTATTACCGTACGGCGAGAGGGAAAAAGAGTTTCACGTAATGACGATTACAACGATATAACATAACACTACCTGTTACGATATTATTTCCGTCGAGCAATTAAATCGTATAACGTCGGGTAGTACATTGTGTTGATGTTCCGTCCGCTATCGCGATTAATTCTACTGAAACAGACGAACAATAATAATAATTTTCACGCGCGGTGCGGAGGTGACCGCGAAGATGTACGGAGAGCGCAGGTACACACACACACACACACACACGTTGTTATAATATTATTATAGTCGCGTCTGTAGTAGCGGCGGCGGAACCGCGGAACGCGCGCGCCACCGCCCAGAGACCGCGCCCATCGCGGGGGGCACCGCCTACCGTTTAACCGAAGCGGACGCGCGCACGGCCCCGGCCGTGGCCGTTACCACGGTTACCGGAACACGGTTGCGGCGTGGTCGGTGGTGGGGTTACGTGCGTGTCGAGTCGTCTGGCTGGCTGGTCGGCCGGGCTCGTCATCTCCGTCTCGTTAGTCGGCCGCAAAGCCTAAACGTCGAACGTATTAACGCGTGCAACGCACTCACCGGTCGCGCGCGCGATAGACGGCAAGTTTGAAAAAGATTCGTACGGTTCTACGTCGACGTTCGCAGACACATCGCGGTGAAAAGAAAAGTAGCGCACCGAAATTTCGTCGTCCGTCATAGTGCACGTATACGCACAAACGGTCCGGACGAGTTGTGATTTCGATTTGTTTTCCGTAAACTCGGTGGATTCGCGTGTTTCCCGTTAGATTTCCCGTTCGCCGTTACTCGTTTTTCGCAGCGGTCCGCGCACCACGCGATCTCTCACCGTCTCACCGCGTAACTGCGCGCGTCCGCGCCGTGCGTCGCGTTCACACAATGCTGCAGTCGTCGCGCTGCAGCATACGCGATTGAGTCGAATGAATGCGCAACAGCTGCAGTGATGTTGATCGGCAGCGGCACCGGCAACTTCGGGACCTTCAACGTGGACCATCCGGGCAGCGGCGGCGGCGGCGTCGGGCTGCTGCAGGGATCGCCTCATCATGCGAGTACGGCCAGCCAACCCCCGCAACACTCGCCGCCCGGTTCGTCGTCCGGAGGCGCGTCCGGCGGCATAGGCAGCGGCGGTAGCGGTGCGAGCATGACGCCGCTGTTGCCGTCGTTCGGGTTCACGCAGGAGCAGGTGGCTTGCGTGTGCGAAGTGCTCCAGCAGTCCGGTAACATCGAGCGGCTGGGCCGGTTTCTGTGGTCGTTGCCCAGCTGCGACAAGCTGCACAAGCACGAAAGCGTGCTCAAGGCCAAGGCGATCGTGGCGTTCCACCGGGGCAACTTCAAGGAGCTGTACCGGCTGCTGGAGAGCAACCAATTCTCCGCGCACAACCACCCCAAGCTCCAGGCGCTCTGGCTGAAGGCGCACTACGTGGAGGCCGAGAAGCTCCGCGGCCGTCCGCTAGGCGCCGTCGGCAAGTACCGCGTGCGCCGCAAGTTCCCGCTACCCCGGACCATATGGGACGGTGAGGAGACCAGCTACTGCTTCAAGGAAAAGTCCAGAATGGTGCTGCGCGAGTGGTATGCCAGCAACCCTTACCCTAGCCCTCGGGAAAAGCGCGAGTTGGCCGAAGCCACCGGACTCACCACTACTCAGGTGTCCAACTGGTTCAAGAACCGTAGGCAAAGGGACCGGGCGGCTGAGCAAAAAGACGGGTAAGTTTTCCATTCACGTAAACATTCGAATTGTAATATTAAATCGGACAACACAAGCGACCTATGCGTGTACTAATGGATCGTTTAACATACAATTATTTACGAACACGTTATTTGTAGTTTGCCCTATGTGTATGGTACATGTGAATTCTTATAAAAAAAAATTATTGCACCGTTTTATCCATCGTTGCATCCAAATGTTCCCTCTCCCATCATCCAAATAATTATAGTATTCTTAAGTATACTATAACCCGTTGAATTCTCGTGACACCGTTTCACATGATCACACATGTTATGTGACGCGTATATTAATATATGTGTCGAGCGCACCGGAGGACGAGTGTTACTGGAAAAATAACTCGGCCCGGTAATGCTCCCTGAACGCAACCGCGAAACCATAATCATAATAATATATAATTTGTATAATATACTTCTCAATGGGTTTGACACGGAATAAAATTATTTCTCGAAAAATGACATAATAATTGTGTTAGTAAAATACACTTTCTCGTTGATATACCATATATAACACTTGTTTCTCATATAATTGTTAATATTAATTTTACTATGTTTGCTTTTTGTGATTCGGCTTTTGATGAAACTAATCTGATTATCATATAAACTAAACCTTCGTTAAATTGGATAAATTATTTGATTTTAATATTTAATGGAATCTATAAGATAATACGAAATTTAATATCAAATTAATACTAATACTAAGCGACTAATCTTAAGAAAAAAATCTGTACAATTTCTCAGTTCAAATATTATTTATTACAAATATAATTTAGCTAAAAAAAGTATAATATTATACATGCTCCTTTAATGTTCAATTACTTTTTGGTTTACCCTTTTTTAATTTGGGTATTTATCTGAAAATACATTTTAATTAAAAAATATGGATTTATTATTGTCAAATATTATCTTATTATGTAATAATATATATTTATGTATTATCGAGTTTGTATTTGTACGATTACGAATTGGTAGATATATATATATATGGTTATCATATACGCTTCGAAAACTCATGCTAAAAATTCTTCTATATTAATAATGATTTTTACTTACTACTTAATTTATAAATTTAATGGATAAAGTAAGTTAGTAAGTTGTTTATAAGCTGAAAAAAAATTTTTTTTTACATGTTTTGATTATACCTATTATCTTATGCAGTAAAATGTTTTTCGAAAAATTATTATAATACGTAACACGTGAAAATCTAATATGATATATTATTAAATTCTATTTGTTATAAAAAAAAATTAATATTATTAAAATTAATTATTAAGACCTATCTGTATCAAGAACCTGCTCTTCTAGAGAACTTGTTTCTTTGAAAACTCACGTTGATGACTGGTAAAGCATTTTATAGCTACAGAGATAAAGTGATAAGCGAATGACCCTAATCAAAATGTACTGTTTTATTAAAAAATTTTTAAAGCCCACCACAATAGAACTCACTGTGAAATTTTATAAACAGGTAGACTCAATATAAGTATATTGTTGACTGTAGACGTTAATTCACCGATAATGACAACAAAAAAATATTCCTGTTACAAAGCGATAACTTAATTTAACAAGGCGTAAGCCAAGCGGGCTACTATAACCTACAGATGATAACGAATTCATTAATACGGATGTTGAACGTTAATGTATATACAAGTGAGTAGAACGATTATGAATTACACATGGCGGGCTGTATCATTAAATCCTGGGTGAACGATACATATGAATATGCTGTTATCCTTTTAACTGCACCCCACTGAGTATAGAACTACCCAGTTTTTCTTTGGTGCAACCGATTTATAAGAATTAGTTTGATAAATCACATTTATTATGTAATAACACAAAGGGGGGTTATTTGTGGCTCGTATTATGTTATTTTTATGTTCTCCAGATGATATCGAGAATTTTAGACATTCGTTTTGCAAGTTTTATTTTTCATTAAATGTATTTATTTTTTATTATTTATATATCTGTGTAGGTTTTCTGTCCATATGCGTTTTACTCATATCATGAATTTATATTTAGTTATGATCAATAAAAACTATCAACATGATCATGGTGACAATTTTAGACTTAACAAAATACTGCAACTTTATCTCTAAGATATATAAAATCAGAATTACAATTTAATGTATATATTCGGACATTTTATTTTATATAGTCATGATAATAGAATAAAAATAGTTTAGTGTGTAGTATGTGAGAGTGTAGTTTTTATTATTTAAATTTAATGGAATATGAATATTTTATAAAATTAATATTACAGCTATTATAATAGTATACACAAGTATAACTATAAAAATAATAAATAAATTCACTTAATGAATTCAAAAATATATAAAATATGTGAAGTAAAATAAAATACAATATCAAAAAATTTAATATTAAAAAACATTTGTATAATGCTAATGAATAATATGTAGGAGTATTTAAATATTTTAAATCTAGCGAAAAGTATAATATTGCTTATCAAACTGCCATACTTTTAAAAAATATTTATTTATTTAATTACTAAATATCTTTGCCCTTTGATAATTTAACTATCAGAACTCATAAAAATATTAATATGAAATGCAATAAGTATTTATTTACATTTTATAACACATTCACTAAATTTTTGAAATATGTATTTATTATATTATGACATATTTTCAAGATGTATAAAACATTTTAAAAACTGAATTTTAGGTAGAGCCAAAAAAAATGTACTGAATTATTATTATAAAAAATACAGTTTTGAAATTTTGCCAAGTAATAAATACTGACATAAAATAATCATATTTTTTACTTCAGTACTTAAAAAAAATATGTCATCATTAAAATTAAATTGGTTCTGTACTTAAAATAATATGAAAATCTCTAATGATAAAAATTTACTAATAGTATGAATGCTTTTATTCATGTTTTGATGATTATATTTCTTAACGAATTTTTTTTTTTTTTGGTAATTTTACGTATTTATTTAATAATTTTAATTTGATTTAGTAGTACCAAATTTTAAAAATCAAGACATTTTTACTTTTCAAAAAAGCATTTGTATCTTAATTTATAATACAACCAATTTCATGTTTTTTAGGTTTGAATAATTCTTGTCTGCTTTAGAGTATATGGGCAGTATATAAATGTTTATTATTGAATTTGGTAACATACGCATACTCCAGACAATAATATAATGAATTCCCGTTGTTGTTTATACGAGTACTAACGCTCTTTGCCGAAAAATGTGTTTATTTAGGATGTCCGAAAATATAAAACAAATAAAAATTAATAATGTGAAAATTCATTTACATTATTAAGATTCATGAAGATATTTATATTAGAATATATATATAAGTACCTAAAACATTTTTATTTTAATTTGTTCAGCTGGTAGTAAATTTGTAAATCTTAATGGAAATATCTCTATATATTGCAAAAAAATCAATAAATACATATAATTACATTTTCAATTTATTTGTAGTTCAATTTTTTTTATAAAAATCCAATTTGTGATTTTATAAAAAATAAACAAAGCACATATAATTATAATATTTTTGAAGCTATTATACATTTTTTAGTCAATAATATTGTTATTTATTTTACTTTTACTATAATTTTTTGTAATTTTTCTTTAAACATATATTAGATTATAATTTTACAATTATAATTATTTTTATAAGATAACTTATAAGTAATACCTATGCCTTAAATGTGTAAATATTTTAATAATTAGAAGCGAAAAATAGTCGAACAATTATAAATTATAAAGGTTGTCCCAACAAAAACGTACATTTTAAAAATATCGTAATTTTTTTGTTTTTGGGTTAAAAGCACTGTTCCAATGTTTTTCATGTTTTATAACATTCCCCATTTTCTATTGCAAAACATTTGTATTTTTAGCATTCGTCATCATGAAGAGATTCACTATTGAACACATTGCGTATACACAATGAAAACGCACTACAAGTGCAGATAGAGTGTCGCGGAAACGTTGCATAAGCTTCGGTAGATCTTCGGACAAAACAATGTGCCTTTGCGATCGACTGTAACTCGTTCAATAGATAAATTCGAAAAAACTGGCTCAGTTGTGGACAACAAAGCTATCCTTTAGAGGAACATTCGATTTCCAGCAAACGTTGCCATAGTGTAAGATAGTGCTCTAGTGAGCCCGCATAAGTCTGTTCGCTGTCATCCATAGCAACTGGGTATGTCACGAAGTGCATCCATCAAGATCCAGTTGACACAAGAATTGAAGCCAACAGATCATGGCAAGAGAAAATTATTTGCAGAATGGATTTTAAACCAACTTGACGCAGACTTCGCCAGCAGGATAATCTTCGGTGATGAGGATCACTTCCACCTCTCTGGATATGTTAATAAGTAAAACCATTGAATTTATTTATGTAAATAACCTGCGAGTCATCCAACAATTGATGGAAGAAATCAGGCGGGTAATTGGTGGAATCGGTAGAGAGATATGTGCGAAAATGATCACCAATTTTAACGATCGTCCTATTGCATGTAGGGATCGCGGAGGCAGACATTTGCTCAACATAATTTTTTATCATTAAATAGGAGTTGTTTATGGTTGCAATAATTCTTTTTTTTTTTTTGAAATGTCTATGGTTTTTTGCTGAGCTATTGCGTTTTTAAAATATGCGCTTCTGCTGGGACACCTATATATTAGGATACCTACTAGTTACGTTTTTATTAATTGAGTTTTAAGAATGTCTGACATTTGATATTGTAACAGTTACTACAGTCGAACTTGATTAACTCGAACTTCTTGAACTCGAAATCGTTGATACCTCAAACTTTTTTTCCGGTTCCTAGAATTTCATATTTAAACAATGCGATAAAATCTTGTTTGACTCGAATATTTTCGTTCTTAAAATGAAATTCCGAGTTTTATAATATTATAAAATTATGACACTTCTCTCATGTACCCATGTATACTAGATATGTATGTACAGATTAATTTGTTTATTAGATAAAATTAACAAGCAAATTAA